GGTTTCTACAATCAATCGAAATCACATTCTTAAATACATTACATCTACATCCAAGTGTATTGACATTATGGTACAATGTATTGGAAACCACATGTAAATTAAACATAACCATATATATTTTATTCTCAATACAGCAAAATACAAATAATATTCAGGACAGATTCAGAAATCCCATTAGTAACAAGTAATACTTCACAAGAGATTTTAAATTACATGTTATTCCATGTTTGAATAACAAACTCATAAGAGTACCTTTACTTAATATTGCATCCATAATACATCTGTTCTCAATATTTTAAAACAAACCCAATTAAAACTACTGTACTTTGTATGCTGATGAGACAGTTAAAAAATAAGTACAACATACTGTATAAACTTCTACAACTGCTTAACATACAGAAATACCTCAAAAGACATCTCGGATCAATTTCAAAAGGGATAGAACATTCTCACATGAAGTAGAAACTGAGATTGTTTTCTTATGATCAACTGTACATCTCACACCAACATCCATCCATTCAATCTGATCAACAATATACATTGCATGGATTTAAAATGTATCCATATCAATTACAGAAAAGACAATATTAGCACTTGATCTAAAGACATCAATGATGATGATGATGCTTATGACAGACAGTGGTGAAGCAGGAGACAAGGCATACAATACAGTAACAAAAATGATTAATAAACATATTGATACACAGTGTTCAGAGACTCAAGTGTCATCTCTAACATTTTTTGAAGAAAAAAGCTCAGAAAATGTGCATATAATATCTCACATTGTATTTACAACTTAATTTCAATACAAATGTTAAACTGTAGTAGAAATTTACCCTAAAAGAAATATTTTATATACAATTTGTACATATTTGTATTTAAATAGAAACATGCAAGTGTTAAGTCTTTCTATTGAAGGTCAGAAAATTTCATTTTACCCTGGATTTATTCAAGTTATAACTAACTATACTTACATTGAAATATATGGTATCGAACAACCCATACAATATCTTCCAAAAACGTAAAATAATATTCCTTGAAAAAGCCAAAAAGAGAAGAAAAAAAAAATGGTTGACAAGCAAAAGGGGCAGAAAAACAAATAAATATGAGTGAAAGCCTTGCGAGAACTGTTACAATTATCCTAATCATCTTTTGTACATCTGAATACAATGGAACACAAGCCTTGCAGCTGTACTTAAAAGTTTACCAGTGTATGAAGACATTGGAGTGGCTACACGAGCACTCACACCCAGAGAAATATCTGAGAAAAGTGGCCTCCAGCTGAAGGTATAAAATGGCTTAAGCCATCCATGTTTGGTTACAAAAACAGATGTATACCAGTAAATCAGTGGACAAGCATGATGCATAAGCTAAAAGCATTGGACATTTGTGTCAAACAAAACAGGTTTTGCCCAACAATTAAAAAGTGGAAATTCCTGATTTCAAAATAACAGCCCAAAAAATGTTACAAAATCCTGCATAGATAAAACATCTTCCTTTACTCTGAGTGCAAGAAGAAATAACTGTTTTCCCCATATTAAAGACCAGGGTGCCAAAGAGAAAAGGTACTAGTGTTTCCAGCATGTGTTTACTGTAAATGGGCTAATAGGAAAAAATCCTTCATCATACAATACCACTTATGCATCAAGGTCACTTTTCTGTTGAAAATGACTCATGTCCACATTTGCCGTGCTGCAAAACTAATGACAATACAAAATAACATAACATAAATATTAGGGTAGTTTACCACTATAGTAGCTCAATCTAACTTGTACCATAAATATAGACCATAGATTACATTTCTAAATTTCAGTAATACACAAATTACTATTATGCTATGTAGAGAACCCAGAAACCACTTTTAAACATTTAATTAAGTATGACAGTTTCATATTCAATACAAATACTTTGCATTTCATAGCTCTTTCAACCCTGTTTTCAATCCTAATAATCTGAAAGTTAAGAAATTTGAACAGAGCAACTGCTTGGTACATAAATAAAATATATATTGGCCATGTACTTTGTGACTGGAAATAACACTCACTCATGTACTTACAATGCAATCTACGTATGGCTAATAAGCACCACCAATGTGTTTGCTACATAACTTATAAAAATTAAAATGTGAGTGCATTCATGTCATTCCTTGCAGTAAGTATCTGCTTTCGCCAGGCAATTTTTGCAGAAACTATACAAATAATTACATTGTGTTTCAAGGATAACATTTGCAATACCAACCACACCCTGCTGTGCCTTAGAAAAATACACCAACAGCAACCCTTTCCGGAACAAACCTATAAAGGAATCAATAGAACAATAACACCTTGTTTAGAAATGAATGATCTCTCTGGGCAATTCGTCAACGAAAAACCTTCCAACTACAGTCAAATTAGATTTCATAGGAAGAACTCATTGACAAATAGGAAATGGTGCTTCAGAACGATGAAAGTAACTTAAACAAAATCAATTGAATGGTGTATCACAGGTGAACACCAATGTGGTCAGCTGCGCGCTACCTCCTCTTCAAACGGCAACTGTTAAGAGTAATGTGTGATATCTGTCAGGCAAACCAGGCTCTCGGTCACTTCACCATCAAGACTGCCTTCAACCCACTGATCACAGCTAGCGTCCAGTACTATTCCAAAAAGTCATGTTTGGAAGCCTGAAATAACTCTTTAAAATGTCTCCAAATTTGATTTGATCAAACCATTTAAATCCCCACCAACCTTGGTGGATCTGCATTTCAACGTATGGTATATTCTAGTTTCCTGTAGATCAGATACAAGGCACAAAAAAAGATAAGAGACAAACCTTAGTTTTAAAGCACCTTTGGTTTGAAGGAAGTACTTTGGTAAAAAAGAAAAAAAAAGAAAAAAAAGAGCACATTATTCACATTTGGCTTTATATATATATATATATATATATATATATATATATATATATATTCACACACACACACAGTTGAAGTCGGAAGTTTACATACACCTTAGCCAAATACATTTAAACTCCGTTTGTCACAATTCCTGACATTTAATCCTAGTAAAAATTCCCTGTCTTAGGTCAGTTAGGATCACCACTTTATTTTAAGAATGTGAAATGTCAGAATAATAGTAGAGAGAATGAATTATTTCAGCTTTTGTTTCTTTCATCACATTCCCAGTGGGTCAGAAGTTTACATACACTTCATTAGTATTTGGTAGCATTGCCTTTAAATTGTTTAACTTGGGTCAAACGTTTCGGTTAGCCTTCCACAACCTCCCACAATAAGTTGGATGAATTTTGACCCATTCCTCCTGACAGAGCTGGTGTAACTGAGTCAGGTTTGTAGGCCTCCTTGCTCGCACATGCTTTTTCAGTTCTGCCCACACATTTTCTATAGGATTGAGGTCAGGGCTTTGTGATGGCCACTCCAATACCTTGACTTTGTTGTCCTTAAGACATTTTGCCACAACTTGGGGTCATTGTCCATTTGGAAGACCCATTTGCGACCAAGCTTTAACTTCCTGACTGATGTCTTGAGATGTTGCTTCAATATATCCACATAATTTTCCTTCCTCATGATGCCATCTATTTTGTGAAGTGCACCAGTCCCTCCTGCAGCAAAGCACCCCCACAGCATGATGCTGCCACCCCCGTACTTCACGGTTGGGATGGTGTTCTTCGGCTTGCAAGCCTACCCCTTTTTCCTCCAAACATAACGATGGTCAATACGGCCAAAGAGTTATATTTCTGTTTCATCAGACCAGAGGACATTTCTCCAAAAAGTACGATCTTTGTCCACATGTGCAGTTGCAAACCGTAGTCTGGCTTTTTTATGGCGGTTTTGGAGAAGTGGCTTCTTCCTTGCTGAGCGGCCTTTCAGGTTACGTCGATATATGGCTTGTTTTACTGTGGATATAGATACTTTTGTACCTGTTTCCTCCTGCATCTTCACAAGGTCCTTTGCTGTTGTTCTGGGATTGATTTGCACTTTTCGCACCAAAGTACATTCATCTCTAGGAGACAGAACGTGTCTCCTTCCTGAGCGGTATTACGGCTGCGTGGTCCCATGTTGTTTATACTTGGGTACTATTGTTTGTACAGATGAACATGGTACCTTCATGCGTTTGGAAATTGCTCCCAAGGATGAACCAGACTTGTGGAGGTCTACAATTTTTTTTCTGAGGTCTTGGTTGATATCTTTTGATAAAGAGGCACTGAGTTTGAAGGTAGGCCTTGAAATACATCCACAGGTACACCTCCAATTGACTCAAATTATGTCAATTAGCCTATCAGAAGCTTCTAAAGCCATGACATCATTTTTTGGAATTTTCCAAGCTGTTTAAAGGAACAGTCAACTTAGTGTATGTAAACTTCTGACCCACTGGAATTGTGATACAGTGAATTAAAAGTGAAATAATCTGTCTGTAAACAATTGTTGGAAAAATTACTTGTGTCATGCACAAAGTAGATGTTATAACCGACTTGCCAAAACTATAGATGACTGTAAGTCGCTTTGGATAAAAGCGTCTGCTAAATGGCATATTATTATTATTATTATTATTATTATTATAGTTTGTTAACAAGAAATTTGTGGAGTGGATGAAAAACGAGTTTTAATGACTCCAACCTAAGTGTATGTAAACTTCCGACTTCAACTATATATATAAATAAATAAAAGCCAAATGTGAATAATGTGCTTATAGCCTATAGAATAAAAAGCGTTTAGTGTATTTCATCTAAAATAATTCAGCAAAAGCGTTGTGCCAAATAGAACAATGACTTTCTTTTGTACCACCCAAAGATATGACAAAGACCATTAATAGTGGATTTGCTAGTATGTACAGATAGCGTCTGTGAAGTTGGAGTCCTCCTCCCCCGTGTAAGATGCTCAATATCGCTCAGTGTTTTTGGCAAGCTGGTGTAGAAAATGGACACAGTGTTATAGATATGTCTGAGGCAGATAAGTTCATGTGTGCATGGAGGGGCAGCGGTGCGTTGCGGTTGACTGTGTGTGTGTGTGTGTGTGTGGGGGGGGGGGGGTTATAGCATCCTTCAGGGAATGAGCTTAGCGTCCAGCCGCAGCCAGTGTAGGCCCTGCCGTGTGAAGCGCACCAGTTCTGTCATGCTGCTGGTGTTGAAGATCAGAAGGCCCATCACCTTGTCCAGCTCCGTGAAGAACTCTGCAAAACAGACAGGACACAGCCAGGGTAAGCAAGGTAAACACTTAACAGTCAGAGACCTCTTGCCCAGGAATGGCTTGCGAGCTCAACACTTACAGAGTTAGTTTCAATCTCATAGTAGTATTCTAGTTTTTAATCTAACGTCTTAAACAAGCACTAGATAGCCCAACGTCCAAGGTATCAATATACTAACACAGCCATATGCATTTTATATAGGAGACACCCCCCGCTGTCTAGTTTCTTGTTGTGCTGATATGGCTGATAAGAGAGAGTGAGTCAGGTACCTTTCTGCTCTTTGGCCAGCTGCTCTGCTTGGTCCCACACCTCGGTGGCGTAGAGGAAGTTGGAGGTGACCTGGACGTAGCTGGCAGCCATCTGGTGGATGCGTTGGGGAATGGTGACTGAGGAGCTACCACTGGAGCTGGATGTGCCTGACGAGTAGCTACCGGCACTACCTGGGGACAGCTTGGGAGAGACTGGAGAGGGCATGCCAGCCGCTTTACTGGAAGACAAAGGGAGATGCAGATGATTGGTAAGAGGAGAATCACAACCGCTCAAAACTAGATTTTTCACCATAATTTCAGCATTTTGTCTGGACCATTAATTGAGGAGTCTCACTTCCTCACAAGTGGAATACATTTAAGAAGACTGTTGGTCTCAAGACAGCGTACAACAACGAAAATGTCTTACTTTCCCATTCCAGGAGAGGGAGCTTGGGTGTTACTCAAGGAATTCTGAAAAACACAAATTGAAATGCAGAATAAACAAAAGGAATACACGTTTGAAGCGAAAATATCACAACTCCTCTGAACTTGTACCAAGGAAAATTAATTACCTTCAGGTGCTCCGTGAGTGTTTTAGAGTATTTCAGTGCACTCTCTTTCCTCAGCTTGAACAGTCGCAGGTAGAGGAGGGACTGGCATCGCAGGCTGGAGTGGGAGGGAGGGATGAATGAACGTTAGCAGAGTGACTCAATGAGCAGCGGCACAATGACACTCCAGTCCAGACACGCTCTAAATTGAATCTATTAAGTGATGAGTCAGGACACATACCACAACACGGCTAGCCGTTTGTCTGCTGACGTAGCGTCTGGGGCCATGTAGCTCTTTAACTTCATAGTGTACCTGAAATATACACACAGACGGAGACAGAGAGAGAAAGAGAGAGACTTTAATGACTGGTTCTTAGTAGGTCTGTCTGGCAACGCCACACAAGCACTCTAAGAGGTTTCATAATATTATGGTATACTGTCAATTCAGTTAAATATTTGTATATTTGTGCAATTTTGGGTCTATGGTGTTTATGAAAGGTAATTGCTACTATGAAGATAATTTCTATTTGATATGTCGTAAAGAAGTTGTAGAGAAATACAGCCATTTGTTCTTACTTGATGAGCTCCACGGTCTCGGCATACATGGGGAAGGGGGACTTAGCCTCCTGAGCACTCTTCTCCAGTGCGTTTCCACACTCGATAAAGGACACCACAGCATCCAGGTAGTACACAGCCTTCTCAAACCGGTCCATCTGCACACAGCAACAACACACATCAGGAAAACTGCCTCTTACGCAACTGATTCCCTATCACTCTAATTTAGTAGACAGTTAGTAACAAGGGGAATGCTTCATGACCAATGCTTGTGGTGAAAGCAATGTTCAAATAAACATGGCAGACTTAAAATATGAGTATTATGTAGATTTCTAATAAAAATATTTTATGGGTTCCCTGGATACTGCAGAATAGGGCTAGACAGCGTCCAGTCTCCCAATAAGAACAGTGAGATATACTATCTGATGATTATCCCCAGGTGAATTATTGATACCAAGTGTGGACAATTATAGCTCATCGAGCTGCTCCACTTTCAGTGGCCAGAGGACCCAAAAAGATTATGCAAAAGCACTGAACAGTTAAACCATTGAAAACTGTTAAATTCCAGAGTGTGTCCAAAATAATGACTCAATTCCCTAGCTTTTCGTGCAAAACAGTTGTCATACTCTAGCCCTCATATTCAACTCTGGATCTCGAAGCCAGTTCCACTGCTTTTTTTCATTATTTTCCTCTAATCAGGAACTGACTTGGACCTGGGACACCAGGTGGGTGCCATTACTTATCAGGGTGACTAAAGCAAATGTAGGCCAGAGAAAATAAGTGGTCAAAAATCATGAAAATTGCATTGTGTCAGCTAGGCTGGATTCTGGGCTACTGGCTACCTGACAGGCTCACTTTCTGTTGAACTCGTCATCTTTCTTCTCCCATTCGCAGGACAGAAAACAATAGAGGTAAGATGGATATCAATTTTGAGATGTCATTTTTAGTATTACGCTTTTAATATTAATTCAAAATTACTGTTATTTTTCAGAAATCTCTCACAAAAACAAGCATATCTCTGAAATGTCAACGGAGCACTGAGCGTATACCAAGCGTTTTATTTTCAAAGCCTTTTACGTTTAATTCAGCTCGTGTCATGCTAATTTTGCTTTTTGGGACCCACAGAAACAACGTTGAAGATGACTACCACAAAATGTCAAATCCTCAAAAGTTGTTACTGCCATGTCAGAGTATTAGGTTACGAAATCCGACTTTTTGGATATAATGCTAATGATATGTTAGAGAAAGAACCCACTGAACAATTCAGAACATGAATAATCATATTTGTCTTAGTAAAATGTATATTATAATATAAGGAAATAAAATGATCACCAAAGCGTGTTCGCCCCTACATGCTCTTGGTTTCACATAAGAGCCAACACAATCGTTTCTTACCAGTGCATCTGCATTGTGTTTCAGTTTCTTGGCCTCTTGTAAGTAGTGATCAGCAGAGTGAACCCTGAAACAGAACAGTTATTGCATTCATTTCCTGTACACCCAAACTTTGAAAAAGAGCATACAAATGTTCCCAATACTCTCCAAACAACTATGTGCAAGGTTTCTTCGCCACAGCAAGTGGACGGACCCTTCCCACTGAGCCTTTAAAATGGAAATGTATGTCATCTCTGTTTCAAACTGGCTCATCAATTCCCCATATCCCAGGGGCTTTACATCAAATGCAACCCTATCCCTGCAGCTCTACATGCTGACTGGCAGTGGGTTATCCACAGTGGAGAGGAGGCTTTTCTTACCTGTCCTCAAACAGCAGTTTTGATCTCAGGGACTTTGAGCCTTCCGAGGAGAGCGGTGGCACAGCAAGCTTGTTATCAGAGCCCTTTGAGGATTTCTCCTGCGGAGAGACAACAAAGTTTATAATCCTATTCCTACGTGGGCTATTTTATGTGACGATATGATGGGAATAACAAAATCATGCAGTGGTGAAAGTGGTGAGCTACAAATGTTATATTTGTGTCCTTCCCAAATGTATTTGCAGTGGGTGGACATTGCGTGACACTTGAGCCAAAATAATACTCAGTGCAGCTGGTAAAGGGCACCCTAGTAGTGTGTGTATGAGTTTGGATAAAATGGTGTCATAAGTAGAGCATGACAGTGTGCAGCCAACATAGACGGACAGGCAGGCAGCTAGACTGACACACCTTGCCCTCCCGGCTGCTCCTGCCCTGCTTGTCCTCGCCCTTCCTGTGTTTGGAGGTGGAGCTGCTCTTGGTGCTGTGGCCTCCCTCCTTGCCGCTGCTGGCTCCGCTGGACAGGGAGGTGGAAGACTGGCTGACCGTCCGCTTGCGGCTCTGGTGCTCCGCCTTGGGCGTCCTCTGCAGCCCTCCTGACCCTGATATGGAGGGAGAGGGCACCGGCTCCTCCTTCACCTTGGCCTCCATGGCCCTCTTAGACCTGGTGTGGGTGGTTTTCAATGTTAGCATTCCATGTTCACAATGTTGATGTTGGGTTGCGGAAATTAAGCATGTGATGGTATGGTTTGAATAAAAAGTCACTCACTCTTTGCTGCTGTTTTTGTGATGAGATGAGGATTTGTCTTCAAGTCTGGACTTCTTGCTATCAGGCTTGGCGCTCTCGTCATCATTCTAAGGTGAATAACAGGGGAGGGAAAAGGATGATTTATTGTGGGTGCATTTGAAAGGCTTGAAAGGAATAGGGTCCTTGGTATTTGACTGGGTATCAACTGAACATGAAATATCACATCATTCTAAACTGCAGCTCATAAACATTTGGAAGATGGCCAAAACAAATTGACATTCAAGCATAACCCATACGAGTCTAAGCCCTATCTAAGCCGGGGGAGGGGAGGAATTGTTTTAAGAAGGTCATACCAAGGTTCATTTTGCCATTTGATTCAGAATTTTAAGAGCCCTTGAAGTATAAGAAAATATACACTACCGTTCAAAGGTTTGGGGTCACTTAGAAATGTCCTTGTTTTCGATAGAAAAGCAATTTTTTTGTCCATTAAAATAACATCAAATTGATCAGAAATACAGTGTAGACATTGTTAACGTTGTAAATGGCTATTGTAGGTGGAAACGGCTGATTTTTTATGGAATATCTACATAGGCGTACATAGGCCCATTATCAGCAACCATCAGTCCTGTGTTCCAAAGTGGCATGTTGTGTTTTCTAATCCAAGTTGATCATTTTAAAAGGCTAATTGATCATTACAAAACCCTTTTGCAATTATGTTAGCACAGCTGAAAACTGTTGTGCTGATTGAAAAAGCAATAAAACTGGCCTTCTTGAGACTAGTTGAGTATCTGGAGCATCAGCAATTGTGGGTTTGATTACAGGCTCAAAATGGCCAGAAACAAAGAACTTTCTTCTGAAACTCGTCAGTCTATTCTTGTTCTGAGAAATGAAGGCTATTCCATGCGAGAAACTGCCAAGAAACTGAAGATCTCGTACAACACTGTGTACTACTCCCGTCACAGAACAGCGCAAACTGGCTCTAAGCAGAATAGAAAGAGGAGTGGGAGGCCTCGGGTGCACAACTGAGCAAGAGGACAAATACATTAGAGTGTCTAGTTTGAGAAACAGATGCCTCACAGGTCCTCAACTGGCAGCTTCATTAAATAGTACCCGCAAAACACCAGTCTCAACGTCAACAGTGAAGAGGCGACTCCGGGATGCTGACTTTCTAGGCAGAGTTGCAACGAAAAAGCCATATCTCAGACTGGCCAATAAAAATAAAAGATGGGCAAAAGAACAGACACTGGACAGAGGAAGATTGGAAAAAAGTGTTATGGACAGACAAATCGAAGTTTGAGGTGTTCGGATCCCAAAGAAGAACATTTGTGAGACGCAGACCAAATGAAAAGATGCTGGAGGAGTGCTTGATGCCATCTGTCAAGCATGGTGGAGGCAATGTGATGGTCTGCAGGTGCTTTGGTGGTGGTAAAGTGGGAGATTTGTACAGGGTAAAAGGGATCTTGAAGAAGGAAGGCTATCACTCCAACGCCATGCCATACCCTGTGGACGGTGCTAGATTGGAGCCAATTTCCTCCTACAACAGGACAATGACCCAAAGCACAGCTCCAAACTATGCAATAACTATTTAGGGAAGAAGCAGTCAGCTGGTATTCTGTCTATAAGGGAGTGGCCAGGACAGTCACCAGATCTCAACCCTATTGAGCTGTTGTGGGAGCAGCTTGACCGTATGGTATGTAAGAAGTGCCCATCAAGCCAATCCAACTTGTGGGAGGTGCTTCAGGAAGCATGGGGTGAAGGCTGTCTACAAGGCTTTAATTGCTGCAAATTGAGGATTCTTTGACGAAAGCAAAGTTTGAAGGACACAATTATTATTTCAATAAAAAATCATTATTTCTAACCTTGTCAATGACTACATTTCCTATTCATTTAGCTATATTTCCTATCCTATTTCAGTTTTCCTCTCCCCACTCAGACCACTCCCAGACAGTCCTAGAAAATTATTGCTTGAGAAATTGGTCTTTGCTAAGAAGCTATTTTTGTTTTCAATTAAAATGGTCAAAAAGAAACAATCACAGTAAGGTACCTAAGGGTGTTTTTATACTTGGTCCCTTCCAGCAAATTTTTCTGAACTCAGTGCGGTTCGCTTAATTTATTGTGCAGTGTGAACACTCCAAAATAACTCAGACCCCTCAAAAGAGCCCTTGAAGCGAACTGAGACCATCTCGAGAGGTGGTCTGAGTTTGGTTCGCTTGAATTCCACGGTCCGGTTCCCTTTTTTAGGGCAATGTGAACACAAAGCACACCAGGTTCCCTTGTCATTATTCCTGCACCACACACTAGACTACTGCAACTCCCCTGCCATAACCCCTGACATTGGTGCCACGAAGGAGAGAAGATGATGATGTGCAGGTTCGTGAAAAAAAAAAAAATGCAGTTTTTGGATAAAGATTAGCAATTTTCAAGGATGCACAGAAATTCTAAAATATGTTTTGTACTGGCACGATGTTCAGATTATTTGTTTGCAATATGTGATCTATAGGCTAAGAGAGCTTCATAAACGGTTTATTCGATTTTAATAGTTTGAGGAGAGAACATATTTGGTGAGAATCACAAAATAGGGTACAAAATCAAGGTGCAGAAATCGCTCTGCCATTTCCAGTTTGCTAAAATTCTAATAGTTTGCCTAATTTCAGTTTGTGTGACAAAACAAGCAAGTGTAGTATAGATCATCATTTGACCATCTAAACCGCTGTGAAATATATTTTCCATAATCAAAAATTTTGTATTTTCAACTGTTCGACGCTGTACAAAACCTAAAGTAAAAGACACAATAACTAAACTTAACGGGAAGCATAGAAATAGCGCACATAGAACAGATCTACCGCTTCTTATACTTGCTTTCAATGAGAATGACAGATCTATAACTCACATTTCTATGTGAATTTGGTAGGGTCGCCCAAAAAGTTACATATTGCCGCTTTAAAGGATAAAAAAAAAAAAAAAGCTACCTCAGATTCATCATTTCCAGCACCACCCCAACATCAACATGTGAAAATGGCACGTTATGTTTTGTAGTAAAAAAGATACAGGAAGAGAAGTGTTTCCAATGACATCATCAACCAATTAATAGACAATTAGTAGGCAATGCCTACTCATAATTGGTATAATCACATGATGCACACTGTTTGGAAATGCTCATATTACTCTTTCTTTACTACAAAACATAGAAACGCGCCATTTGCTGGAGATGATGAAAATGAAGTAGAAAATGTTTGAAATGTCCCTTTAACTAAATGCAATCTACACTATATATACACACAAAAGTATGTGGACACCCCTTCAAGTTAGTGGATTCGGCTATTTCAGCCACACCCGTTGCTGACAGGTGTATAAAATCAAGCACACAGCCGTGCAATCCCCATAGACAAACATTGGCCTTACTGAAGAGCTCAGTCACTTTCAACGTGGCACCGTCATAGGATGCCACCTTTCCAACAAGTCAGTTCGTCAAATTTCTGCCATGTTAGGGCTGCCCCGGTCAACTGTAAGTGCTGTTATTGTGAAGTGGAAACGTCTAGGAGCAACGACGGCTCAGCCGCGAAGTGGTAGGCCACACAAGCTCACAGAACGGGACCGCCGAGTGCTGAAGCGTGTAAAAATTGCCTGTCCTCGGTTGCAACACGCAGTACTGAGTTCCAAACTGCCTCTGGAAGCAACGTCAGCACAAGAACTGTTCGTCGGGAGCTTCATGAAATGGGTTTCCATGGCCGAGCAGCCACACACAAGTCTAAGATCACCATGCGCAATGCCAAGTGTCGGCTGGAGTGGTGTAAAGCTCACCGCCATTGGACTCTGGAGCAGTGGAAACGCGTTCTCTGGAGTGATGAATCACGCTTCACCATGCCAGTCCGACGGATGAATCTGGGTTTGGCAGATGCCAGGAGAAAGCTACCTGCCCCTATGCACAGTGCCAACTATAAAGTTTGGTGGAGGAGGAATAATGGTCTGGGGCTGTTTTTCATGGTTCGGGCTAGGCCCCTTAGTTCCAGCCCGATTCTGTGCTTCCAACTTTGTGGCAACAGTTTGGGGAAGGTCCTTTCCTGTTTCAGCATGACAATGCCCCACGCTGTGCACAAAGCGAGGTCCATACAGAAATGGTTTGTCGAGATCGGTGTGGAAGAACTTGACTGGCCTGCACAGAGCCCTGACCTCAACCCCATCGAACACCTTTGGAATTAATTGGAAAGCCAACTGCGAGCCAGTCCTAATCGCCCAACATCAGTGTCTGACCTCACTAATGCTCGTGGATGAATGGAAGCAAGTCGCCGCAGCAATGTTCCAACATCAAGTGGAAAGCCTTCCCAGAAGAGTGGAGGCTGTTATAGCAGCAAGGGGGGGGGACCAACTCCATATTAATGCCCATGATTTTGGAATGAGATGTTGTAGTGTATTAGCTTCCAAAATGTAAGCAGGTACCACTAGCTGTCTGATAACACGTTCTGATGGAAGGGTTTGTCCTGCACTTTGTGAAAACCCAGAGTGCATTGCGTGAATGTTGGAAAAGTGAATTGGTTCCTTTCTAAACATAGCAATGTCAATGCAAACCATAATCAGACCACAAAATAGTTGAAGTCAACTGGCAAAAGCGTTGAGTCCTCATTCAAATGCAAGGGCAGTGTGAATACAAAGAGAACAGAGTTCTTTGGCTTTTTTTTTTCTAACCCAGAGTTCACTATAAAAGATCCGATCTCAGTCCTCTTTAAAAAGAGGACTATATGTGAAAACACCCTAATGGTTACCCAGAAATGATTTGATATTGAGATAAAAACAGCTGGATTGAACCTTTAACAGACCTTGTCATAGCAATCTTTTTCACCAATTTGCATAGTAAAACAAAGTCAAGTCCTAACATCCAATGAATAGCAGTGTGCTGTGGCAGGCCATACCTTGTGTTTCCTCTTGCCCTTACCGGAGCTCTTCTCAGAGGGCTGCTTCTGGAAGTCCTTGTCTCTGTCCAGGGAGCAGTCCCTCTCTACTTTGGGCTCTAGCAGGTCTTTGTAGGGCCGTCCAGGAACACGGGAGAGCAGGCTAAGGTCGATCTTCACCATGAGCACCTGCTGCTGCCTGACGGGAAAGCGGTCGTCCGGGTCGCTGAGAGGAGAGAGCAGCTCCTTCTCTTCCATAGGAGAGAACACACACACTGGAGTCCTGATGCTCTCTGTGTACTTGGGGGTCTGAGACGATGAGGGAATGCTGTCATTCTCCTCCGATTCCGAGGAGGAGTCGTCCGTGTCCACAAACTCCCGGGACTTCTGGGAAGTCTTAGTGAGCGCCTTGCTCTTGCGCTTGTCCACGGCCGGTATGGACGAGGACTTGGGCTCCTTCTTGATGTTTGGTTTGCGGGAGCCCTTGGTGGCGGCCTTGGGCCGATGGGGAGGGATCTCCGGAGCGGGTTCACTCTCAACCCTCAGCCCCCCCTTAGGCTCCTCCACCACCGGGGGCTTCTCAGACTTTTTGGGCTGTTTTTTACCCACTGTTCTGCGCTGGCCCGGGCCACCCTCGCTCTGAGCGGGAGATTTCTGCCGGCCACGGCCGCTCTCTGAGCCCTTCTGTGCTGCCCTCAGGTCCCTGCTAGGTGTCGGCGCCCCTGAGTCTTTAGACCCGCCCTGCCCGCTGTAGCCCCGGCCTGAGCTCTGGTCCCGCCCCTCCTTCTTGTACTTGGTGGGTACATTATTGTCCACTGGGGAGGCCGGGGAGAACTGCTTGGCTTTCTTGAACCAGTTGTCCAACTGCCATTTATTGGCTGTGGCTGGTTCAGGCTGTAGGGAGAAGTGTAGAAATTGGGACTAGGATCTACTACACCATATTCTGCATGCCTTATCAGGTCAGGTGCAAGAAGGTAAACGGTACTGACAAGTGACAACCCTTGGTTATAATACAATAATGTAATAGCTGGTCCAGAAGATGATAGGTCAAAAGGAAGAGAGGTCAAATGTGTAACTAGGCCTACCTCTGGTGATGCCGGGCGAGGGGGCTCGTTGGCCTCGCTGTCTGTGGAGCTGCTCTCGCTCTCGCTGTCCGACCCCGAACTGCTCTCTGAGCCACTGTGACTGCTGGAGTCGTCCCGCGAGTGTGCTGCCTCGCTGTTATTACTGTTGTTACTGTTGGACAGGGATATGTAGTAAGTTAGTGGACAGTAGTCTGGGGCCATTCATGTGAAGGTATCATCAGTTAGTAGTTACACATGGAAATAGCTAGCTATTCTTATAGCATTTCGTTTCAGTTCTGAGGGGGGTGAATCGTATCAAGAACTTCAGCTCCAATGAGTCTGTCAGAGACCAGTAAGGCCACTACCTTGCTGATGCGTTTCTGGAGGTGTTTTTGGCCGAGTCCTGTTCTCCATCACTGTCCTCATCACTGCTGAGCTTCAGGTCATCTTCCAGCAAAACATTACTGGAACATTACAAGGCCGTGGACGTTACACATTAACACCACATATGGCTTCATTACCACACAAACAACTATGGGGAGAACTAAGCAATGTGGCTCCTATTCTGTGTCCCTCAATGTTTGGAGATACTGTGTCAACTGTCTGTCACGATCATAAAGCAGCTGGCTGCTAGCCATAATGTTCTTAGAGATTTACAGGGTGAAGGGGAGGGACACTCACTTGGCCTGATCTCCATCGCATGGTGCTGCCTTGGACTGGTGACTGCTCGACGTCTTGGTTGGTCTCTCTGGAGGTGAGGAAGGGTGAGAGGAGAACTCATTACCATTATGACAATGGTGAAATCAGCCTGTATCCAGAGGTTCAAGATGTTTGAGACTACTGTTCAAAAGTTTGGGGTCACTTAGAAATGTCCTTGTTTTCGACAGAAAATAACATCAAATTGATCAGAAATACAGTGTAGACATTGTTAATGTTGTAAATGGCTATTGTAGCTGGAAACGGCAGATTTTTTATGGAATATCTACAGAGGCCCATTATCAGCAACCATCAGTCCTGTGTTGGCACGTTGTGTTTGCTAATCCAAGTTGATCATTTTAAAAAGGCTAATTGATCATTAGGAAAACCCTTTTGCAATTATGTTAGCACAGCTGAAAACTGTTGTGCTGATTAAAGAAGCAATAAAACTGGCCTTTTGAGACTAGTTGAGTATCTGGAGAATCAGCAATTGTGGGTTCGATTACAGGCTCAAAATGCCCAGCAACGAATAACTTTCTTCTGAAACTCGTCAGTCTATTCTTTTTCTGAGAAATGAAGGCTATTCCATGCGAGAAATTGCCAAGAAACTGAAGATCTCGTAAAACGCTGTGTACTACTTCCTTCACAGAACAGCGCAAACTGGCTCTAACCAGAATAGAAAGAGGAGTGGGAGGCCCCGGTGCACAACTGAGCAAGAGGACAAATACATTAGTGTCTAGTTTGAGAAACAGACGCCTCACACTGGCAGCTTCATTAAATAGTACCCGCAAAACACCAGTCTCAACGTCAACAGTGAAGAGGCAACTCCAGGATGCTGACTTTCTAGGCAGAGTTGCGAAGAAAAAGCCATATCTCAGACTGGCCAACAAAAATAAAAGATTAAGATGGGCAAAAGAACAGACACTGGACAGAGGAAGATTGGAAAAAAGTGTTATGGACAGACAAATTGAAGTTTGAGGTGTTCGGATCCCAAAGAACATTTGTGAGACGCAGACCAAATGAAAAGATGCTGGAGGAGTGCTTGATGCCATCTGTCAAGCATGGTGGAGGCAATGTGATGGTCTGCGGGTGCTTTGGTGGTGGTAAAGTGGGAGATTTATACAGGGTAAAAGGGATCTTGAAGAAGGAAGGCTATCACTCCATTTTGCAACGCCATGCCATACCCTGTGGACGGCACTTGATTGGAGACAATTTCCTCCTACAACAGGACAATGACCCAAAGCACAGCTCCAAACGATGCAAGAACTATTTAGGGAAGAAGCAGTCAGCTGGTATTCTGTCTATAATAGAGTGGCCAGCACAGTCACCGGATCTCAACCCTATTGAGCTGTTGTGGGAGCAGTTTGACTGTAAGAAATGCCCATCAAGCCAATCCAACTTGTGGGAGGTGCTTCAGGAAGCATGGGGTGAAATCTCTTCAGATTACCTCAACAAATTGACAACTAGAATGACAAAGGTCTGAGAGGCTGTAATTGCTGCAAATGGAGGATTCTTTGATGAAAGCAAAGTTTGAAGGACACAATTATTATTGCTGCAAATGGAGGATTCTTTGATGAAAGCAAAGTTTGAAGGACACAATTATTATTTCTATTAAAAATAATTATTTCTAAGATGGGTCGTGGCTGGGTCTTCCAGCATGACAATGACCCGAAACACACAGCCAGGGCAACTAAGGAGTGGCTCCATAAGAAGCATCTCAAGGTCCTGGAGTGGCCTAGCCAGTCTCCAGATCTGAACCCAATAGAACATCTTTGGAGGGAGCTGAAAGTCTGTATTGCCCAGCGACAGCCCCGAAACCTGAAGGATCTAGAGAAGGTCTGTATGGAGGAGTGGGCCAAAATCCCTGCTGCAGTGTGTGCAAACCTGGTCAAGACCTACAGGAAACATATGATCTCTGTAATTGCAAACAAAGGTTTCTGTATCAAATATTAAGTTCTGCTTTTCTGATGTATCAAATACTTATGTCATGCAATAAAATGCAAATTAATTACTTAAAAATCATACAATGTGATTTTCTGGATTTTTGTTTTAGATTCCGTCTCTCACAGTTGAAGTGTACCTATGATAAAAATGACAGACCTCTACATGCTTTGTAAGTAGGAAAACCTGCAAAATCAGCAGTGTATCAAATACTTGTTCTCCCCACTGTATGTCCTATTCAAACTCATTTCATGTATGTTTTCATGGAAAACAAGGACATTTCTAAGTGACCCCAAACTTTTGAACGGTAGTGTATGTTGAACGTAAAGTGCTGGGAAATACTTACTGTGTGCACCTGGAAAACTTGCGTGCTGAGTGTCCTAAAAAGATAGTCAAGATAACGTTTGTTTATACAGAGACATTACATGCCCTTATAAGTTCAACCACACTGCTCATTATATTACAAAACAGCTGCTTATTGATTATGGTAGTGTTCAACTATATGGCATTTTCTTCTATTATTTCAAAGAAAATACATATTGCTTATTACATGTACTATTCACACATACAGTCCCAGTCAAAAGTTTGGACACACCTACTCATTCCAGGGTTTTTCTTTATTTTTACTATTTTCTACATTGTAGAATAATAGCGAAGACATCAAAACTATGAAATAACACATATGGAATGATGTAGTAACCAAAAAAAGTGTTAAACAAATCAAAATATATTTGAGATTTTAGATTCTTCAAAGTAGCCACCCTTTGCCTTGATGACAGCTTTGCACACTCTGGGCATTCTCTCAACCAGCTTCATGAGGTACATTTTAGTCATTTAGCAGACGCTCTTATCCAGAGCGACTTACATTTAGTGAGTGCATAAATTTTTCATACTGGCCCCCCGTGGGAAACGAACCCACAACCCTGACGTTGCAAGCGCCATGCTCTACCAACTGAGGTAGTCACCTGGAATGCATTTCAATTAACAGGTGTGCCTTGTTAAGTTAATTTGTGGAATTACTTTCCTTCTTAATGCGTTTGAGCCAATCAGTTGTGTTGTGACAAGGTAGGGGTGGTATACAGAAGATAGCCCTATTTGGTAAAATACTAAGTCCATATAATGGTAAGAACAGCTCAAATAAGCAAAGAGAAACAACAGTCCATCATTACTTTAAGACATGAAGGTCAGTCAATACGGAACATTTCAAGTACTTTGAAAGTTTCTTCAAGTGCAGTCACAAAATCCATCAAGAGCTATGATGAAACTGGCTCTCATGAGGACCACCACAAGAAATGAAGACCCAGAGTTACCTCTGCTGCAGAGGATAAGTTCATTAGTTATCTGCACCTCAGATTGCAGCCTTCACAGAGTTCAAGTAACAGACATCTCAACATCAACTGTTCAGAGTAGACTGCGTGAATCAGGCCATGGTCAAATTGCTGCAAAGAAACTACTACTAAAGGACACCAATAAGAAGAAGAGACTTGCTCGGTCCAAGAAACACGAGCAATGGACATTTGACCAGTGGAAATCTGTCCTTTGGTCTGAGGAGTCCAAATTTGAGATTTTTGGTTCCAACCACCGTGTCTTTGTGAGACGCAGAGTAGGTGAACTGATGATTTCCGCATATGTGGTTCCCACCATAAAGCATGGAGGAGGTGGTGTGATGGTGTGGGGGTGCTTTGCTGGTGACACTGTCAGTAATTTATTTAGAATTCAAGGCACACTTAACCAGCATTGCTACCACAGCATTCTGCAGCGATACGCCATCCCATCTGGTTTGCGCTTAGTGGGACTAACATTTGTTTTTCAACAGGACAATGACTCAAAACACACCTCCAGGCTGTGTAAGGGCTATTTGACCAAGAAGGAGAGTGATTGAGTGCTGCATCAGATGACCTGGCCTCCACAATCACCCGACCTCAACCCAATTGAGATGGTTTGGGATGAGTTGGACCGCAGAGTGAAGGAAAAGCAGCCAACAAGTGCTCAGCATATGTTAAAATTTTTTATTTAAATGTAACTTTTATTTAACTAGGCAAGTCAGTTAAGAACAAATTATTTTTTACAATGACGGCCTACCCAGGCCAAACCCGGACGATGCTGGGCCAATCGTGCGCCGCCCTATGGGACTCCCAATCACGGCCGGATTGTGATACAGCCTGGAATCGAACCAGGGTCTGTAGTGACGCCTCTAGCACTGAGATGCAGTGTCTTAGACCGCTGCGCCACTTGGGAGCCCCATGTGGGAACTCCTTCAAGACTGTTGGAAAAGCATTCCTCATGAAGCTGGTTGAGAGAATGCCAAGAGTGTGCAAAGCTGTCATCAAGGCAAAGGGTGGCTACTTTGAAGAATCTGAAATATCAAATATATTTTGATTTGTTTAACGCTTTTTTGGTTACTACATGATTCCATGTGTTATTTCATAGTTTTGATGTCTTCACTATTAGTAGGTGTAGGCCTAACAAATGTAGGCCTAACACTATGTAGGCCAAATGTAGGCCTAACACTATGTAGGCCTAACAAATGCTATTCAGACATCCATAAAAGAAATTGCATCTTATTGTACCAATGACTAATCTAAAAATAGTGCCGGCTGAAAACATGACTTTGCAAGAGATGGAAATTCTTTTATTTCATTATGCTCAGCCTCTGTACGTCACTAAGGCCTTCTCTGCTGTCTGACCTTGGAGGGGAATGGAAACTTTGAAGGCTCCGTTTTGCAGGGGGTGTGAATGGCTGTCAACGGAGGGGGCCAGGACTGAGTCATTTCCTGGAGGGAAAAATGGAAAAAGTGAAGTTGAGTAAGACCTCAATGACTGGAAGAAAAAAAAAAAAAAGTTTCTTACTCAGCTTACTTGATCCTCTGAAAAAAAAACTTACTTACCTTTAAAATCTCATCAACACAATTCGCATCCCCAGTCATTGGACCCTACAAATATCAACGATTGTACCATTGTTAGAAGAAGAAGAAAAAAGGCTCATAAACAACAAATGTTAGTGTGTCATCTTTCATCTTGTTAGTGACTAAGTCTTTGAGTTTTATTCTATAGAATTTCTAGAATTCTAGTTCTGTGGTTTTACCTCAACAGGCTGCGAGGGGATCTTGAGCTTGGAGAGCGAGGCCTTGCCGTTGGACTTCATCTCCCCCATGGTGCTGCTGTGGGACTGGCCGCTGTACATCTCTGATGAGGTCTTGGGCTCCACCGTCTCCTGGCCATCCATGGGGCGCACGTAGGCTGTAGGCTTCTGCAGCATGGAGCTGGGCTTGGACATGAGCGAAGGGGGGAAGGCCTGGCTGGAGTGCGGGCCGCTGGGGAAAGATGTGTGCACACGCGACGGGGAGTCCCAGTTGGCCTCGCGCTCGCGCGGGGACTTGGAGCGGTAGCGCTCCTTGCCGTGGTGCTCAGCACCCAGTGACCGGGAGTGACTTGAGCTCAGGGAACCCTTGGCTGGGCTGGACGTGTGGGACTTGGAGTGTTCTGAGCCATGCTTGCTGGACTTCTTGTGTTCCCGCTCGTGTCTTTGGCTACTGCTGCTGCTACCGCTACTCCTGCTACTGCTGTGGCTGCCCTGGAGGCTGGATCTCTTAGAGGACTGGGAGGACGAAGTGCTGGCCGCTGGGCCTACTGGAGTCCATTTACTGCTCTGGCCACTACCACCGCCACGCTGGTCCCCAAACAGAGACTGGCCGGACTTCTCCTCAGAGGACGACGAGCCTGAGGGTTTGCCACCGAGTTTTGGAATTGTGTCTCCGATAGGTTCCTTCATCTCGTCGTAGTTTCCAAGCATACTCTGGATACGACTGGACAGTTTATCTTCTTTGCTGGACTGCGAAAGACAAAGACAGAAAAAGAGAGAACGAGAAAGAAACAGAGGGTCACCTTCAGGACAGCAGTTGAATTAATTGCTTTTAGTCTAATACATTAATGAAATATGCTATCCAAACTTTAATTTATTCTGGTGAAAACTTCTGAATAAAAAAAACAAAAAAAGAAGAGGCTTCAATGTTTCTTATAACATCAAAGAAACATTGACAATGTTTTTTTTGTTAGGAAAATTATACTATTAGCCCTCTGATATAAAGCTTAAAGTTGAAACAATATTGAGGAGAGGGCGGCCCTCTCAACTAATCACACGAGAGACGACTGGCTTATTCAAACTCCCCTCCTGACCAGTGACGCCATCTGCATGGGGAGATAAGGGCCTTCCATGGCTCCACTAAAGTGGTTAATCAATCACTCGGTGGGGCTACCACTAGAGACGACAAGAGGTAACCCACAGTGTGTGTAGCCTATCCAATTTCACATGGGGGCCCAAAACGGATTATTTCTGACAGATACCCGTGTGGGGCAAGAAACCATCCGTTATCTGTAGCAGGAAATGTAGAATACGTGATACACAAAGCTTTGCTGGTCTGGATGGAAAGTAGAGAAAATCCATCAGAGTACATTCACACTAGTAATTGGGTTTGCCTTGCAATATGTTGTGTTGTGTATGTGTACAATGCATAAGTGTGCCACCATGCAAGGCCTACACTTTGATGGAAGGGCTCTCGGTAGCAAACAGAGCAAAAAGGTAACATCTACCCCTATCTTTTACAATTCATGCACCAGTTTTAAACTACATTTACAATGTTATCAGGAGAGAACTTCAAAATGATATGATAACAGTAATGTGGAGAGCAATACTAAAAAAAGGGAAAAGCCATAGGCCTTGACAAAGATACATCTGAAGTGCATATTGGAGTCATTATACAAAAAGCCACTTAAGATCAGAACTTTTCTGACTGGGGAAAGATGAACTGCATCTGTGCAACCAGTGGACAAACGTTACCACGCTGCTATAATTGTACAACTTCAGTGGCAGCTTTGTTTAGTGTATCTTTAAATAACAGCCATGGACTTTACAGGAGGGCATAGTAAACACATTTTACTGGACTATGAATACTATTGGTCAAGACTGATGTTACATAACTCTCTGGAAACTAATCACAAAGAGGCATTCTACTGCCCAGATGAGAAGATAGAGTTTTAGTTATCCAGTTGATGTTTCACATTTCTACATTACATGACGTATTTTGTAACTGCATGAGTAAACAAGGTTTCTCTAAACACACACAGTGAACTCAGGGGTCTGAGAGCTGCGGAACACAACATGGCTGCCATGGCTGTCTATGGATGGTGGAGGGAGGGTGCCTTCCCTGGGTCCTATTCTTCATCAAAGCCCCCTGATTACCTTTCACTTCGTGGGGGCAAGAGACAACTTGGCTTTCCAGGTAGAACTCAACTCTCACCCCTTTTCATTCGCTACCTGTCAGGACACGTTCCAAACCATCCTTTGATGGTTCCTCTAGCTAAGAGAGGAGTCACTTACCTCTGCTTAAATCTGGTTAGTGGCAAAGATTAAACTGAGCCAAGGGCTGAAATCTGTATAATCGAGTTGGTGGGTTGGGAGATCTGGTTCTGGCCCACATCAGTGCTCATGGCAAATGTGTATCCCTAATCCAACTATTTTCTGTTGTTTATTTGACTACAGGGGCCTGGTAAGCATCAACATCAATATGGGTTAGGTCTACTTCCCAACCGCTATATATGATAGGGGACAGTGCCATACACGCATCCTACAGTTATCAAGACTGCATATGAATGCAGGTCCCCTTTACCTGTGGGCTGTTTACTGCCCACGATGATATAGCAATTTGATGGGACAAAAGGGGATAGCAGGTTATGCACTTACCTCAGGCTCATTGGGAGGAGGACTAAGGAAGGACCAGATAAGATAAAGGGACACAAGGTGAGACTGAATCTGCAGTGAGGGCAGGACGGGTATGACACCTCGGCTTTCGAGGCCTGGGCCTTACATTCCTCCTGAGCAGCCAGCAACAGACCTGAGCCCAAATTAACTGCAGCTAATACAGTTCCCCTAAACAGTGCACTTACCTCCAACTCTCCCTGCCACCGTTCAGATATAAAAAGACGTAAGCAGTTCTCTGGTTTAAAAAAATAGTTATCAATGAATCCTGCAAATCAATCATAGCATAATGGGAATACTTATAGGAGAAACAAGTATATACTCTAAGAGGTAACTAAATGACAGAAGCAAAACAAAATGAATAACAAAATAAACTTACAACTTTATAAGGTTCAGGAAAGAGAGGGGAGTGAGCTGGAAAGGCCTCTCCTCCCTGCTGGATTTCTTGATTTCGCCTTTCTCTTTCTTTCATACGGAGCACATTCCGGTCTTCACGGTTCATGTTGCTAACAACAGAGACACAGTCACTAAGCGTGGAGAAGAGAAAATAGCAGCTTCCAAATACTTCGGTCTACATTAAAAAACACCAAGTGATACTGCAGAGTACACAAAAAAAAAGATAAAACAACTTAGGGGGAGGGCATTTTTCAATGGCTTAAAAAGGGAGGGACAAGAACATCTACACACCCCCACAAGTCTAAAGCGTTATTACAATGGGTGATCAAAAGCTACTGATTTTTATGGTAGGCCTATATGTTGGAAAAACGGCAGGACAGAGATAACACAGTTAAGTCAATGGAATAAATGAAATAAGCATATGAACAGCTAGGCTATCTAGTAATAGGTAGGCCTATTCACTGCTTTCTAACTACCCAATTTTCTACAGTACATATCCCACCCTCAAAATTATCAAGCCAATAACAAGACCTCAAATCATAATTTCATGTAGTTTTTGTCTCAATCTCATGAATACAGTGTGTAATTTATAGTAATATAGTCGCTAATTTTTCTGATGGCATGTGACAAGATTTTAGGCACTATGTGGCCTAGAGGCAATCTGCCAATAGGACCATCAACATCATTTCTACTAACAGCTTGTAAATAATCACTGCAAGTAGGGCTGGACGATATATATAATTAATTTGAATGTACGTTTTTGCGCGATATTCCAAATGCTTGTATCGAAAGAATCACGTAAAGAAAACGTTTTTTTTTTTTTTCATTTTTATGAGCATTCATGTCTGCTTGTTCTCATGTTGTATTTTTGGTCTCATCTCCTTTGATGCTCCTATGCTGTGTGCGTCTTCCCATTTACACCAGAGATCTGTATATAATGATGAGATGCTCATGTCTCTAACAAATGGGAGTCATTGTCCAAAAGGCGGGAAGGCAGGTGACAAGCTTAGGTCCAAAATAAGCCCATAGAAACGCATTGGGCTTATTTTGGACAGATTTTGGCGAGAGTAAAACCTCTAGCGTCGCCTCTTCCTCTCGGTTTACATGCATGCACGCACGCACACCCACCCACCCCAAACCCCTCCCACTGCCACAACAAAGATGAGAGATCACTTCTTCTCTGACAAGCAGTTTCAACTCGCTATTTGCATTTGAGGTTTGGTCCAACAGAATCGGTCATATGGACACCGAAACACATTGAGACATTATTTTACTGTAAAAGAGAAGCCAACCTTTCTAACAATCCCTTTTAAATGTCTCAACTGCTCAAATTGCATGCAGAGCAGACACTACTAAAACGGGCTTATCAACAAACATTGATTCTGGAAAATGTATGCTCAGTTTGTCGCACGCGGCATTGGGGTACCAGGTACCGCTAGCAGCATTTTAGCCAAAGACTGTTATACTAGCGGTCTAGTGTGTTTTATAAATGTGCAATATGCATAAAACACAATTATATAAGGACTTGGCTACTCGTTCTCATTCTGAGAAATAAGGTAGGCCACTTGATTTCAACATCTGAGCAAAGTGGACAGGCTAGCACGCAGTTCAAACAGTTAGAGACGGACACAAGGGTTTGTTCATAACAATTCAACTGTTCTACCTTGTTAGCTAGGCAAACAGATCCAAGTTGGCTAAACTTGAAATATAAAAGATCCTATAAAGATTAGCTGGCTACTCACTAGCATGTGGGCTTGTGCTTGAGGGATTGTTTATGAGACCCGTGTTAATTTTCTATAATGCCTGCTACAAGAAGTGAATGTGCATTAAGCATGGTTCTGGTTAAATTTGTAACAAAAAATGCATTTTCATAGACAGACTTGGAAACCAGATCAGTGATTATTACAAAAAAAGCAGGTTAAACTATTTTGATAAAATAATTAAATAATTAGTGGGTCTTATGGTTGTGGAAGGATTATATTTAGCCTAGGTATAATTTCACGCCCTGAAATCATTAGATTATTGCTGGTTGTTTGAAATGCAGCGTATTTAACCTTTAATTGTACAACAAAGCTTATTTAGAGAAAACATTTGTATTTCTTTATCGAGATATATCGTGAATTGCCCATAAGTATGAAAAAAATCAAGATATGATTTGTAGGCCATATCGCCCAGCCCTAACTGCAAGCATCTGGAGACATCATATAGAAAATGTGTACACATATGCCATTCTAATCATGAGTTCTATTATTGTGGTTTCAAAAACAAAGCCATTGCCTTTGTATTCAATCTCTAGTGATTGGCATCCATGTTGTAGAGTGAACAGCGATTCAGAATAGGTCTAACTACTGTTCATAGTGAACTGTCAACAAGATGATTTTCTAAACAAAACTAGGCATATGTACTAAGAGGGAAATGTGCTCAATGTCATAAGAGGTCAGGCAACACCTGAAAAGTGGGTTCTATTAATAGAGATCTCCATGAAGCGAAAGGTTAGTTAGTAGTTCCTCAAATATATGCCAGCACTTTGACATACAGACCTACCCCTTTCTGTTGCTGTGAAGGGTATAACAAAAATTTAAGGAGTGTTGAAAGTGTAAGGTTACCCTGGCCTGTCCCCCCACCTTCCCTCAAAACACAGGGCACTGCACATCTGTGCTGTTTAACGGTTTCCTGATTAGACTAGGCTACATAGGGCATATGGCAATTCCCTGACTGCTCAATACACTATAAGCTACAGGGTTGAGTCATCACTGAAAGCAGATGGTTTTCTACCTTCCATTAACTATACAGGTCAGGAACAGGAAGTGACAAAGTCATAACTGGTATGATACCGTCATTTAACTGCTTTTTTATATGCCAACCATATAAAAAAGTGAGAAACAGGAGATTGGCAAAATGTAAGAAAACAAAATAACCTACCAAAGACCTTCACATAAGAAGTAGGCTAGCCTAACTAAAATAATTCAGAAACTGATGGTGAGGGAGGGCTGTCATTAGTATTTGTAGATGCAAATGACACCATTAGAGATGGGCCTTGAGTAAATGTGTGAATGGGCTGTTTAGTTAAACAAAGCTGAATGATCAAATGTATTATGTCCTGGCCCTCTAAACGCTCCCCTCACCATTCATCCCATTCTAATTATCTGCTGTATATTATGAGGCAAGTGGGGGCTTAAGGAGTCAGCATGCTTCAGTTCGGCCGGTTGCTAGGCCAACCGAAGGGTGTGCTCGCATACTCCCTTAAAAGAGCTTCGCTTGAAAAATGAGGAAAAAAGCGGCAATAGTACAGTTTGACCATTTTGAGATGCCGTAGCCAGTATACACTTCCTCAAAATAGTCAGAATTAATCTAAGATAACTCAAGAAATCTGTCATTAATTGAAGTTTTTGCCGAGGAGATCTTAGTCACGTAATTTTACATCTAACTAAGATGTTTGGTGCAGTATTTCTCAATGAAAGATTTTGCTTGAAAATGAGTTGTCTCGTTTAATGACAACAAATACTTTATTGAATCATCCCTACTGTTGACCAATCACTGTCGAAGGGGCGTAAGAAAAAAATGTGTGCGCACGAACATCCTCCCAAAAAACTTGCTGAATACAAAAAAAAAAAAGTTATATAAAAAAAGGAATCACAAAATATCATCATAATATATGCACAAACTGTTCCGAACTGTTTAGGATGGGAAGCATGCGGACGCCTTTAGAGAAAATCGGGAGAGTGTCAACAACATATCTATTAAAGGTTTCAATGGCACCTGTGCATACATACCGGTAGTCAAGTGTTAACAGTAGACCACTGCAGAGCCATTAAACAAAACAAGTGAAACTAGAATGAGGCCTAGCACTAACTTTGACTCAACCATGCATAAATTGAAACTAGACCTATGCTGTGAACAATGTACTGTAGCCATATGCCCGACCAGCTGGCTCTGATCTACATTACTAAAGCTGAAGACAATGCTACCAAACAACAACTGGGTGATTCTCATGAAACAAGTTCTAACCATGGCAGTAGCAAATTGAGTTATAAAGCCATGATGCATCTGCAACAATCCAGTATCATCTTGAAGACTAAGATGCCTAGATTATGCCAAAGTGTCTTATTTTAAATGCATTTAACATTTCCACCCCAAATTCTCATTACCGAAATGCGTCCGGATTAAATTCTCAGGTTATTTTATACAATTATAAAAAAATTAAAATAACTCACTTATTTGAATAAAACAAAATATGTTGCTGTAGTTTGTCCATAAAGCATAAAAATCTTATACTAGTTAGGGCTGGGCAATATAAAGATAGCATCGTCTATCGATGATGATGATGATTGACAGCCATTGTCGATTGTGACGGTATCGTGATTTGACAGATGATGGTTAAACCCAGTGGGACCTAAACTTTTTCACTCTGCCCCCAATCCATCATTGGAGAACATCCCTCAAGCCTATCATAAAAGCTGTCAGTGCAGTTAAAAACATGATATTCCTGTTTTCACATACATTTCCACACAATGAGGTTGGAATAATACTGTTAAATTGTGAAAATGATAATGCCCTTTTAGTGTAAGAGCGGTTTGAAAAGACCGCCTGAAATGTAGGCCCATTTTCATGGGATGGAGTTTTGGCCTTCCATGGTGACATCACAATGAGGTAAATTAGTTAATAAACCAATAAGAAAGAGAGTTCCAAACCTTTCTGCCAATAACAGCTAGTTTTCAGTTCTCCACCCCACTTAGACCACTCCCAGACAGGCCTAGCTAAATTATTACTTGAGATATTCCACTTTGCTAAGAAACAATTTTTGTTTCTTTTTGACCATTTTAACAAATCACAGTACGGTACTTAATTGTTACAGAGAAATTATTTGATATGGAGATAAAAAAAAACAGCTGCATTGGACCCTTAAAATGAGTTAAAGTAATGAAAAGTAGCTTATTTCCCAAATATTCTAGCCTACGAAGGTGTTGTCCTGAAGTTGTGGCTTTCAAAAATAACAAGAATTAAAGTCAATAGCATAAGCCTAGACATAGGCTATTCTCAATCACAGCTTAATGATAGACAGAACAAACAATATTATTTATTTTTACATTATATTATGAGGCAAATAATCCA